TTTACGGTTTGGTCATTCTGGCACACTTGACATCTCATTAGTGTCCCAACTTGTTTGTCCTCACCTCCTCCAAAGTCCATTTTTGGCGAGGTGTTGCCCCACGCTGCTTCCACTGGGCGGTAAACAGTGTGATTAAATAAGCTATTCTAATCATCAGAATAAGCCCAGTCTTCATTTCTGCCTGACACTCCTTCAAATACATTTTCGTCACTTCTAGGGTGCTCAGTGTTTTGATAAACTGCTCTTACACACACACACACAAGTGTTTATTGCATTCATTGTTAGCTAGCGTATAGCTAACATCTATAGTTGCTACATAGGTTTGGGCAAACAGACCCAAACAGTAGAGCAGTTGATACTCTCCTGTCGCTCTCCTCTTAACCTCTTTAACTTCCCTTTTTCTTTAACTCGTTAACTTTTCATTAACACAAACGACACACTCACAACACACAACTTCGCCTCCACACAAGCTGACATGTTAATGGACCGTCTCAGTGCCTCGAGTAGAAGGTTTCCTCTGTGAGGTCATTTCTATCCTCTCGTGTTTTATTAGCGTGGCACATTGCCAGCAGATAAAGCATTCTAATGTTTGTGGCTAAGAAGAGTTTGCAAACACTTCTGCAACCAGCAAGCTGCTATTTGGAGGCTATTGAAGGGATGCAGCTGGCGTCGGAGAAATTCGAATACACCAGCTACTGGGGGATGTTAGATTATATCCTGGTTCCTGTTAATGGGGGAGAAGCATTTGATTTGATTGACTGCAGTTGCTCAGTGTAAGTAGCATAAATGCTTTGAAATGTGAGTTTCTGGTTTCTAAAGATAACCGCTGTGGTGTCAGTTAGGAGTGAAAATAGTTCAGTCGTTTGAGGAAACGACCGTGGAAAGAAAGAGTTTGTGGGTAAAAGGAGATGGACACTGACACTTGGATGGTGAGTCACAGCCAGCATTTCCTCATGAACACTTCGATTGGGTAATCGCTGCATATCAAAGAGCACAGATAAGGCTATCATATTCAGCCAGGATTCCACACTGGAGTTTGGCTTCCTGCTGCCAAAACCTCTAGCCTGGCAGGATGACAAGTTACCAAACCTCAGCCGTGTTTATTTGCTACTTGTGAGCCCATGTGACCTTTGTTTACAAGCCTTGATTGGTTCTTAATAAAATGTTGTGAGCCAAATGTTAGCATGTACGGCCGACACAATAAAATAATAAAAATACATTTCTCTACTATGATTCAGCCGAGAAACCAAAAGAACAATGTTGGGCAACACCTAAACTGAACATGCACTGCAGCCCCCAGTTACCAAGTGTTGTAACTGACAATGGTGGCTGTATCTTCTCCTTTTCTTTTCAGAGTATGAAACATCTACATACGGTCAGACAGTGAGAAATAAACCCGTCGGTCAAATAATGGTTCATGAAAACTTTGGTCAGCTCGCTTGGTGTTCTTAACAGGACGCACGCTGTCAGTGCAGGGCTGACAGGGTTTACACAGGCGTGAGTCAGCCCTCTCTGTGTCTTATTTGGGAGGTTAAAGGATCAGTCTGTTGTGTCACACACCGTGCAGCAACACCCACATCGTGTTCACATGAGGCATAGCTAATACAGTTGGTCTTATATCTATGTATACGCAAAGACATATATATATATATATATAAATACATATATATATATATATATATATATATATATGTATTCACACTCTCCCTGTGTGCTATCTCTAAGGCCAGTATTTACTTTGATTAATTAGTGAGCCACACATACATACCCAGCAGTGTGGGCTCGATTCACATTCACCCCGTTGCCGTCCCCCTCATGGTCCTGGATACTGTTGCCGGGACAGTTAGCGGCTGCTCAAGACTCCACATGACAGTTGACCTTGGAGGGCCGTGCTGGCCGGCTGGCCCCTGAAGCCTCCAGCAGCAGCACCAGTGGCAGTGGTGGTAGCAGCAGGCCGTTTAACGCTCTGCCGCTCACAGCGTGGTTGTGCACAGCCCTGGTTAGAACCGTCTTTGGACAGCAGAGGAGTCTGTACTGCTTCACGCTGAGGCTCTGCACTCAGATGACCTCATTTATTTAGGTTGTTTTGTGTTCAGGCTCTGGCTCGGTGGAGTAAAGGCCTTATAGTTGGCTATAGTAGTAACATGTATTAGCGATGTTATTGTCTAACATGAAATCTCTTACTGCTGGATGGGTTGGATCTGTCTGTCACTGTCTACAGAGACTCCAGGCTGCAGAGCTTCATACATTCCTAACATTAGGCTTCATGACCAAAGAGAGTTTTTATTATGTCGACACTTCTGTCCATACGCTTCCCCTCTCTCACTCATCCACATGAGCTGTCTCTCTGTTTCCCTCTCTCTCTCCGCACCACACACTTCTTTATCCATTAATGATTCTGATAGTGCTGCAGGTGTAGCCAGGAATAAGATCGTTCTCCGCATTCCTTACATGTTTTGTTGGGAAGGTTGGCTCATTTCTCCTTAACCAATCAGTAGTGACTGACACGTTTGTTTGGTTGACATTATTTTGAATCGAAACAGAAGTTGCAGTAATGTATCATCTGTCATGGTGTTAGGAGAAAGTTCAGAGAAAACTGGAATCCATTTATTACAACAAGCTGTATAACTACATGATGCATCTTATTTATCTGCAATAACTCTTCTGGCTCCTACAACAGAAGATAACATCCCCATTCTCATTCCTACTGACAAACCTCTGATGACTCACTTGTTTTTCCAACCGCGAAAACAGCTGTTAATAAGCACAACACCAAAAACTGAATCAAAGGCTGATGAGGGCGAGGCTTTACTGGTCTGGAACCAGATTCTGACGAAGGTGAAAGTCATGAATGACATTGTAGAGCTGACATTTTCTTTTTGAATCTGTCCAGCAGTATGGAGCAGAGCCAGACACTGCTGCTGCTGCTGGGCTGGACCTCAGGTGTGCAGGCTGCGCTCACAATGTCGCTATGGTTTCCTTCCTGTCTATGGATCAAGGCTAGCTAAATGCCCATACACTCACTGGATGCTGGCTGACTGCAGCAGCTTGTTTAGGTTGAGTGTGATGATTTTCATGATGCAGGCAGGTTTGTGCTGTGGCTGGTCAGATCTGTCCACTGTATCTACCTCTAGAGCCTGATCAGAGATCCTACAGTGATTCAAAAGTTCTACTGGTGTGTTGAGTGAAACTCTTGTCGCCATGGTGATGACATGTTTTAGTTTTTCTTGTCCTCCAAAAAAGCAGCTGAGAGCTTAATACGCGGCAAAGACAGAAAGTTGTGTTAATTGTGTTAAAAATCCTTCCACTGTTCGCTATGTGTCACCATATCAGGTTGTTTAAGCTGCAGACTGTACTGCTCTGTGCACCGTGCTGTAGCCATGCACATTATCAAACACACACAACAGAAAACAAGTTTTTGTTTACATGCCTCAGTAGCTAGCACAACTAGTTAATCCACTAACGCTGAAACAGTTTCTATACCAGTATTACTAGTTCTGCCATTATGAAAGGCAGTGAAAGAACTGCTCGAGGGTTCGGTGAATGGGTTAGGACTTTACCTCGTTTGTTGCATTTCTAAACAGGGCTGCAGTATTATCGAAATCACAATATGGTCAAGTGCAATATCCAAATCATACATAATCATTTTAATCGTTTTTTCAGTGAAAACCGTCATTCTCACACTGGTTTTGAATTATATCGCAATCTCTGTCACAATAATCGCAATGTTATGTTTTTAGCATATTGTGCGGTCCTATTTCTAAATACTAGCTATGTGTGTTAAAGCAATGTGGTAACACTTCTGTGAACAGAAGTAAGGCTGCAACGACTGATGATTCATCTAAAAGGTCTTTTCTTAATTAGCTGATTTATCATTTGGTTCATAAAATGTTGGTGTGGATCAGCATGTTCTATTTACTATCACAGAAGACTAAGAAAACTAGTAAAGAACAAAAAACGTGGAAGGTGATATTGTTGCTAAAAAAACAATTCTTAAAAGAATAAATATCAAAATTGTCTGCTGATCGACTAACATTAATTGACTAATTGCTTCAGCTTTAGACGGGAGATTCAGTTTGTTTTGTTTGATTTAGCCACCGTAAGCCCCTTTCACACTGTGGACAGAAACCCACTAATATCAGAAATGGCTCTGCAGTAGTCACAGGTATTTCACTGCATCCAGCTCCGATCAGCAGGCATGGAAAAACAGTGCGACACCCACAGACTGTATGAATAAAATCACACCGAGGTGGACACGACTACATGCAACAGCAAATATTATTCTTTGTATCATGCGAGATGCATCAGTGGCAAGACAGCGAGGTGAGAGAGGGGAGAGGACATAAGGAGACGAGTCACTGGCACTTTATCCAGCTCCGGCAGAATGCAATATACAAGAACATATATCATATACGCTCATAGTGAAGTTGGTGTTAGTAAGTGGGGTGCAGTGGTGCAGTGGTGGGAGTGGGTTGCTTCAGGTACTGGTGAGTTGTTTGGATGAGGCTTGAGCACCTGGTCACCTGTCCCCTTGTCTGATCCCCTCCTCTCTCTTCCTCTTCCTCTTCCTCCCCCCTCTCTGCAGAGAAGGCACTAATAGCCAGCTGGAGGTGGTGAGCTGAGCTGCTTCTAGTTACTGTCTCTGTGGCTCACAGACAGTAGTTGTTCTTTTATATATTATATATTATATCAGCAGTGTTTTTGTATTGACTGGTGATGATTACAGTAGTCAGGCCCTGCACTGATGGCATAGGTTGGGTTGTTACCAAACAGATTTGCTGCGTTGTTTGAAGTGTTTGACTGTAAAGTATTTGCGCAGCAGTTAGCGTACCTAAATAAACAAAAGATTAACAGTGTTTACAGTTTAATTAACAGGCCTCGGTACGTTCACCCACATTAGGCCATAACACTGTGGCTCTGCATGTAACACATTTGTGTGTATCAAGTAATGTGTTGACCAAAGCTGAGGCCTGCTTCATGTTGCCCCAACAGTTATTGAACTGTACATCAACTGTGTTAGTGCAACCACTGTGAGAAAATACCATTGTCCACCGCTCACTGGCAGATTGAAGCTGACCTTCTCTAGCACCTGCTGTTGGTAAACACAGTAGTGAAAGTGGTGCTGCTTTTAAGTGATACTTGGACAATAGCTTCCCGTCCCCTATTAGCCTGACAGTGGCTGTCCTGAGTGGGGCTTTTGTTGAACAAATTGTTGCAAACAATTGTTGTTGTTTCAAGACCCTCCAGACCCTTGTGTCATTTTTTGTGATTAAAAATAAAGACGCATCCCTGTCATCTTTACTGGAGTATACCTCATTAGCTCTCAGTATCCTCTTTGTCAGTGCTTTCATTTCTGACGTTCTTCACATTTTACTCAAGTAAAACGTAATCAAAAATGTGTGGATTATCCAGTCCTAAAAAATATCAGAAAATGTAATTTTTTATCTTCAAATTGCTTGTTTTGTCTGAACAGCACTCTGAAAATCTGAAAATCCTCCTCCATATTTACTATTTTTGCTTGATAAATGACAATAAATAGATTATTAATGTTTAAATTATTCTCAAGAATTTTGAAAACTGTTACATAAAATCATTTATCAGAGCGATAGAAGAAGATAAAACTGTAAATGTACATTTGTATCTAGACTTTCTTACAAAACCACATAGTTTAAGTTTAGTTTGTAAAGATCATGACACATGAGCCACCTGTACAGTGTAATGATATTTATGTGTGGCTGGCTAAATTCAACAACATTTATCTTGTGTTTGGTGTTCCCTTATTGCTGTGATAATTGAAAAGCGATAGACTGCTGCTCCATAGTGTGTTTTCCTTTTCAGTCAAGATATGCAAGTTGAACTCCAGATAGGACCCTGTAGCTTTCCACTGTTTCAATCTGCAGGCGTCAACGTTTCCTCATTAAAACCTGAGTAGAAATCTTCAATTACACCTCCTCTCTCCTGAACTCCAACTCAAGTGACCCCCTGCGTCTCAGCCTCAACCTGCTCCCACTTTCAGCGCCTTCCCACTTCGTCACAATGTCTGACCGAGATCAGAGACCTTATTTCTAAATGAAAAGCTGTCTGATTTAACCCTGATGCCCTCACAGACCGTATTTAGCAACGATTGAGTGAAAGTAACCATGAAAGGGAAAAAATGTCCAGGAGCATCAGCGAGCCTCTCAAGTGCAAAAGGAAACTTAATCTCCCACAATTTGTGTGTGAGCCCAGGAGGAATTCCACTTGTTATAAAAATAGCCTCTTTTGGGCAGAGGAAGCATCTCCACTCGCTGCTTTGTTACATGATCGACCATTACTGGTGTTAACTCAAGAACAGAAGTGTTGGACTTAACTTCTAGCATGCCACTTTACTGACTTATTAATGCGGTTGGATTGTCACAGGCCACGTCCACACTAATGCCTTTTCTAAATGCTCAGCAGCAGCAAGGACGATGCTGAGTTTCTGTTGCCTCAACTTCTTGATGTTCACTGTGATTGTTTATATTGTGTGTCACATTGCTGAACATCAAGTCATGTTTCATTCCAAGAGCTCATTATGTTTAAGTTTATATCATATGTCCTTTTATTATTAGAAGATAGTTATTAGAAAATGGTAAAAAAAAAAATAATTAAATATCTATAACAATCTTTTAAAACAATTTTTTGGTGTATAATGAGCCGCCCATTTTTGAGTTGTAATTATTACTAGAGGACGTTGTTCACTGCAAACTCTGGTGAACTGCTTGGAGCAGATGTGTGGGGCTCCATCTTTTTAACCCAGTTTAAAAAAACTGGTGAAATTAAAATGACATCTCGTATTTGTACTTGAAATAAATGACTGCTATATGAAAGCGAAGAATGAAGGATGAACTAAACCAGATAGTGAATTGTGAATCCTTCTGTAGTTGCAACAGGAATCCAAAGAGGACCAGGATCAGATGATGAATGGGTTTATACAAAGTGATCATTTTATATTACATTAAAGAAAGCATGTCTGTGTTGTCAACAGAACGAAAGCCGTGCACATGCGAGATTAAAGATTCATCAACACCTGTGGACACCAGGTGAAGACTTTCAGCTCAGTCATGCTCAGCCACTAATCCTCCAGCTTCCTGATCAGATTGGAATAAAACTTTCTCCTTTTATGGACATTTTGTGACAGGATGTGGGTGGTGAAAGACAATATTGCACCAAACAGTTGTTCAATCTTCTGTATGTTCATTCAATCTAAAACGTTTGAGAATGAACAGTCCTCATGTAGCCAGTATTGTGTAGGAATAAAGTTACTGACTTGGTTTTGTATTCCTGGAGGCGGTTGAAAAGAGGAAATTTGTTACACTCAAAAACAAACACACACACACTTCCACATGCACTTGGAGTCCTAATTGAATCCCAGCCAAGCTTAGAGGACACATGCACCAGTTCTGTAGTCTCCTCTCCCTCCCAGGTGAGAGACTTAAACTGTGGCCTAATTAAAGTGCCGTCTGCCCGGTGCTGTATACCTCCTCTCAGTTCAGACTGGACTCTATTTGACTACCTCAACATTTACGTGTCGTTTGCATCTCAGAAGCGCTCACAGTGTACACCATTTTTCTCTTTCTTCATAGGATGCTGCTGCTTATGCTCTCCTTTCCTGTTATCACATTGTGTTAACCGCTCTGCTATCGGACTCTGTTTTCTACACTGACCTGTTTGTCAAGTGAATGCTACACTATCTCAAGTCAGTATTTGAATACCTGTGTGTGTCTGTGTTTGTCCTAACAGGAGGCCGATGGTGATGACAGGCTGGGCCTGCAAGGCGATGCAGAGGGAGAATGTGACGGTGACTCCAAAGCAGACACTCCAGATGTTCCTCTCTCCACAGCAGACACAGACAACACTCCACAATGCCTGAACAAAGCTCTGGAGGGCCTGCCGCCCAGGTATGCACTGCTCAAACGCACATACTCACAAGACAAGGATGCCAGCAGATGTCGCTTGTCCCTGAAGTGCATCCTGCAGTTGTCACTGCTCAGAAATTTCACAGGAATTACTGTGTAGCCTGATTCTGCCACTCTGTGTGGTGGGATCAAGCTGCAAGGATCTATTAACATTTATATTGAGTTTATATATTCTCTTGAGTCAATTTTAGCTCAACAGGCCTTGTCCAATATGGTAGCGAGTAAAAACTAATTAACTGTGGTCCGCTGTAACCCATCATGGTCAGAAAATGAAAGGGAGAGCCACAAATAAATAGTATAGTAAAGAATAAATCATTCATTCAGACTATGATTATATTTGTATGTGTGCTGGCTTGCTGTTAGATTGTGCTATTTCTCACAGCCACCCACTACTGGAAGTAGAACAAGCGTAAAACCTTAGATTTATTAGATTACAAGTAGGTCAAAATGCACACTCCACAGCCACAGCGCTTGAGGTCTTAATTTTACAGAAATGCAAAACAGGATGTAAAATGTGCACATCAGATAACTTACACTGATTTTACATACCGTAAAACAGAAAAAAGAAGCCTGGGGTCTTGTTTAAATGTGCTTCCACCATAATAGTGCTGTAACAAGCAGCTTCCCCACCATCTTTCATGACATGACCCTGACAGAGTGATTGATCATCTTTCCCCTATGCATGTAGGTTAATTGGACCAGAAATAGATTGGGACCTGCGTGTTTGAACATGCTCTTATTAATGCAGTGAAGGAGATAATGTTGCTAGTTATGAAGGACTGAATGACTTACATAGTGGGTGAGAGTTCAGAAATGTTGTGTCCACACACAGGGAAAAAGTTCCCAGCTTTTGACCAGCGACTACTGTTGGTTTTGTTTTAACTCCCTCTAATTTTACAGCATTATATATTTATAGATTAACCAATACTCTCATTCAGGGTCATTCACAGCAGTAGAAGCGTGTTAGTGTATGTCGTCGTGGTTAGAAGAGTTAATAGGATGTGAAGAAGAAACCAGCAAGTGGGGCCTGTGAAACAAATAAAACCAGTCGACACACCTACGATAAGTCACTGAACCGTCACACATTAATAAATTCAAGTATTTTTTGTCATTCACCTGAATGTCAAGTTCTGAAACAGGTTTGCTTACAGCCTGACCTCCAAAACATGTTCTGTACAGTGACCAGGTAAAGAATGATATTTAGGAAAACCTGGCTTGGAGATACTAAAATATTTTTGCACACAAAGCTTCTGGAAAAATAGAGGAGATATTGTTCTCTTTTTTATATATATTTTGATATATGTGCCTAAAGAAAAATAATATTCATTTATGGAGTTATATGGCATGGTTAGAAAGGAAAAAACTGTTGTTTGAGTGCTAGAACCTTTGAAAACAACAAAGTAAAGTCTGGCAAATGCATTGAAGGCTAGAGTTGAAACTTCATTTAAACAATCATTAAAATAGCTATTCTTGTACAGTTTACATTCTTGTAGCGTGGCAACACAGTTCAGGGCTGTTACACTTGGCAATCTGTGCCTGTCCAAGTCAGCAGCTCTGTGAACGCAAATGAACGAGGCCTTGTTTCATATACAGATGAGAAGTGGAGGGTGCGACCAATCAGTGACGGCCAGGTCACAGGGCTTAAAGGCTCAGGAGGAGGGAAGCACTAATCCCTGCAGGCTGGAGTGCCATAAGAGCCGGTGTGCTGCAGAGAGACCCGTTGATGAACAGACTGCAGAGAGGGAGAGGGAGAGGGAGGGGGGGAATAAATAAGAAGGAAGAAGAGAGAAATAAGGAGAAACAGATGGAGGGATAGGGAAGATGTAGTTGAGCAGCAGATGAATGGAGCGAACCAAAGAGCAAAATGACACTGCAGAGAAGGACGAATAGATGGAGCTGAAGGTGAAGAGAGGAGGAAGGGAGGTAGTTATAGAGATAGAGTGAATGAGTGATGGCAGGATGGAGTCAGAGAGAGAGAGTGTGAGCCCCACAGTGCTGAGTGGAAGCAGCAGCAGCTTTTTTTCATGATGCAGCTGTTTTTTTTTTTTCTCCATTCATGCAGCAGGCACCAGGCTCTCTGCCCTGCTTGGCTCCTGTGCAGCTTTTAGGCTGTTTCCTCTCTTTTGTTTTGCTCCCAGGCAGCAGGCAGTGCAGCAGTTTGCCTCACAGCAACATGCTTTGCATGCCGTGTTGTGAAACACTCCAGTGGACGAGCCCTCATTCCACATTTTTAGCCATGCTGGTGTCACAACAAGGGTAGTACTGGCAAACTGATTTGTTGTTGGGTTTAGAGGATCAATTACCACTAAGCCTTTTGGCTCTACCAGCTACTAACAGGTCACAACATATGTTGAAGACCTTGATGGCCAACAAAAAGAAAGGATGCCTTATCTGTGCCCCAGGGAACTGGACTCCCTTTCTGCTGTCACCCCACTGGTTCACCTCGGTGACTCTTATTGGACTCTGGTCCACCCCAGTCTTCTTCTCATGTCGCCAAACGCAGTCTCAACAAAAGTCGTTCCTTGCTATCAACTCCAGCACGCCACTTTTATCCATACCCCTACTTAAGCATCCATGTCTCTGCTCTCTCCTCTGCCATATGCACTCAGACCGGCTCATGTTACGTGAGACCATACTTTTTAGAGGATGGCAACCAATCAAAATGACAGCCTGTAACTGTGACACTAGTGTATGGAAAAAGGAATGTCAGTCTGTATATTGATTGTCCCACCGCATTTAGTCAGACTGAAATCTCTCAGGAATTACAAGTATCATTGCCATAAAATGTTGACATTCATGGTGCCCTTAAGATGAACAATTTTGTTGATCCCTGACCTTTCCTCTAGTACAACCAGAAGGTCCAGCTTTTCACTTACCCAGTGAAATATCTAAATGTCCATGACTTAGATCGCTCCAGTTTTTGTACAGATATCCACTGTGTCCATTTGATGTATCCCAATGGTATTGTGCAAGGGAACCTGGCTTTTAAAGGGAATGGTAGATGACACACTCAACTCCTTTGTGCCTTACTGTGAATCCAGATTATGTGATATTAACTAGCTAAGTGGAGTTGGACACACCCTAAATGCTCCATGTGCTTTAGACTGTACACTATAGATAATTTAAATGGGGCCCTCAGTGTGTTCAGTGTGTGCATCTGAAAGTGGTACCTGGGTTTTCAAGAGAACATACTTTCTAACTTTCCTTGTAGAAACTAATGTTTAATGAGTAGATATTCAGAGGTCATCTTACAGAGTTATAAAACCAGCAACTGTGACCAGTTATTTTCCTCTTTCCTTTGACAGCCATTGACAAGTGCCTCAACCACAGCCTTAGAGCTTCCTCTCTATTATCACCCACCCCTTTAACTCCACTAGTCAGCTGATAAATAACCATGTCAATTCTGTAAATGCTTTGCTAATCATGATCTACTAATGTAATTTCATGGCTCTATAATTTTATGCAGTCCATGTTTTAAAACTGGAAATATAGAAATGTAATCATACATCTGTGTAATTCTTTTCTTTCTAAAAGAAAAAAGCCTAAAATTAGTTAATTAGATACTCGTGTAATTTTGAGGTAATAATTCAAAGTTTCCATTCTCCACAGATGGAAGAACTACTGGATACGAGGGGTTCTGTCTTTAGCCATGATTTCAGGCTTTTTCCTTATCATCTACATGGGACCCGTCACTCTTATATTAGTGGTAAGTGATATAATTGATCAATGCATCTGTCTGACTTTCAGTTCATTTTTTGTAATTACTGATATTATTTGTAGTTCTGACTCTCAGTTTGTTTATCAGCTCCCTTGTCTTATTTCTGTTCTCTTCCCATCATCTGACATAGGTCATGACTGTCCAAATCAAGTGTTTCCAAGAAATCATCACCATCGGCTACAGAGTTTATCACTCTTATGAACTGCCGTGGTTTAGGACACTAAGTTGGTAAGGAGAATGGATTTCATAGTAAACAGTAGCTATACTATAGATGTATTATGAACAGAGAAGAGCAATACTGCAGAATTCTAACTTTAATGTTTGCTCAGATATCACCCTCAAAATCAAATAGTACAGTTATAAGACCTATGTCTTGCTTAGAGTCACTTTAACAGGACAGTGCATGTGTTAATGGACAAATGACTGTTTTGGGAAGAATAAGACCGGCCTCTGCACCAACCCCTCTGCTTACAGATATTTTAGAAGGTGAATTATTTGTATTTCAGACATTAACTATCTAGATATTCTGTAAAATGTCTAGGGAAGTAAGGATGTTTCAGGAATCTATCAAAGTTTTATATGACAAGATGAATTTGCTCAAATGCCCTATAAATTTTACATTGTGCTTGTTATCAAACCTCTGTACTTTTTGTGGCATCAACCAAGCTGTGTCTGTATCACCTAGTATTTGTATTTATTCAGTTTTATACTATATATAAGTTTTTGCACAGATACTTGAGTAATTGACATTTGAGACGTTTAGCTAGAAAAAGGTTTTCCTCAAAGTAAGGTATTATGAAATAACTTTGGTACAAGTATAGAAACTGTATTAAAACATTTAAATGATAATGATGTTCTACTTTTACATCTAGGCCACAGTGACCTGTTACAGGAAACCCGAATGTTAGGTCTATATTCATTAGGGGCGTAATGGTATATAAGGATATTTAAAAATCCAGAAACAGGCAGAATTGCTCTTTTAAAGGTAGCACTTAGTCATTTCTTCTGGCAGCCACAGTCTACCTCACTCTGCTATCCCTCCAGTAAAACGCTGACTCAAGCCAGCTTCGTCTGCAGGTAGTAGCTCTGAATATGCAACACCCACCTACCACCATAGTGCCCTATTTTGCTCCTGTTTCTGTTCCAAAGTTTTTGTTAACAGGTCACCTTTGCATACACAGCTACAGTATGTGACAGCAGTGCTCAGTGCAGCATAGGAGCAAAGATCACTGCCATGTTGGAAGCAAATGAAGGCTAATTGAAACTTGCCCCTTTCACCAAGGCCACCCTTCATAACAACTCCATACACACACACACACGCACACACACACAACTGATCAATGTACAACGGGCAAGAAACACTGTTAGAACCACACAAAACACATCCAACACAAGTTATTTCATACATTAGCACACATTTCAAGTACACAAAGAAACTCTTGCACACAGTTTTTACACAGCCTACCAACTTGCTTCCAAGAAGCACTCAAACATAATGGAGGAAATATAAGAAAAAGAAAATGTAAAGCAACACTAATGTCCCTTTTTTTTTTTTGCCTTAGGTACTTCCTGATTTGCGTCAACTACTTCTTCTATGGTGAAACTGTAGCAGATTACTTTGGGGCTCTGGTGCAGAGGGAGGAACCTCTGCAGTTCCTGGCCCGCTATCACCGCTTCATCTCCTTCGCTTTGTACCTTGCAGGTGGGTCTCGCCTTCAAGACAAAACGACTGCTGTATCTCGCAAAACACACATGCTCTTTGGTCCCTCCGCTTACACTCACATTTTATTTAGAAGTGGATCAGATTTCACCAGACACTGTGTGTCTATAGTAGAGTCGAGTTACAAAGTTACGAGTTCACATTATTGGGGAGAGAATAGAGCAAAAAGAGAAACAAAGACCTTGGGATGTGAAGTATAAACTCAGGAGTTTTTAAACTGATTTGCAATGACTTGAGTTTTACTGATAGGATGGTTTATTGCTCTGGTAAACTGTAGCCGGATGTGCCATAAAACCACAAACACTGAGCTGTAGCTTTTATCAAGATACTCTGTACACTAATGAGTTACATACATTATGTGTAGAAAGTTAACAGTTAACAACTTAAACCTAAGCAATTTACTGTAACCAATCATACCATGCAGAGATTGGAAAGTTATTTGAGATAATCCATCCTAGAAATTGGGTGTTACATGTATGTTCTCATGCAGGTTTAATGTCGGCCAATAAGTAACTAGAAATTGCTGTACAGAAATATTAATATAATATAGAAACAGTGTTGTTGTAATCTCAACTATAACATTATAGTTAATCACTTAAGAAGAAATATGCGTGCATGTGAAATAACCAAAAATGGCTCAGTAGAGAATGAGCCCATAGCTCACAGTAAAAAGCTGAAAATATGTTTAAAGGTCCAGTGTGTAACAATTCAGAAGATATTTTATCAGAAATGGAATATAATAGTCATAGGTATGTTTCCATTAGTGCATAATCACCTGAAAATAACAATCGTCTACCTTAAGATGAGCCTTTTTTATCTACAGAGGGAGCACGTCCTCTTCTGGCTGTATTCAGCTGGAACATGATCAATAGTAACATTAGTATAAATACACTTACAGAAAATATGCTACAACATGCAAAAACATGGTCCTTAAATTATTTATCTATCAAATGCAGAAGTGTTGAATATGAACACACTGATCAGCAGCTTCTTGATCTTTATTAGCTGCTGCTGTGACAATCCTTTTCCCTGTAGTAGAGTGGGGGGGGGGACACATTTCTTCCTGAGCGTTGCTGACTTAGTTGTCTTTCAGTTGACCCAGCCAGGCATCAGATGCAGTTTTAAGCCCCAAGGACATTCTCAGCTAGACAGCATCTTCTCCATCTGTTGGCAGTAACGGCTCCCCTGAGGGCCTTCACAGGTTTATGTAGACAAACCTGACACAGGAGCTTTCAGATATCAGCCTCCTCAATTCAAATTCACTTGTCTCACTTAAAGTCAGTTTAAAATCTGAATCTGAAATGGCCCTAGATGTTTGTGTGAAAGAAAATAGTGAATTATTCAGTCACAGGCATGCTTCACACACACCTCCCCATGCAATATACAGTAAATGAGTGATATGTGATGTGTATTTTTTAATCTGTCGTATACTTTTTCAACTTGGAGTAAAAACTGACAGCATGTTGTCTACTCTTTCACAGGTTTCTGCATGTTTGTGCTGAGTTTAGTGAAGAAACATTACCGCCTGCAGTTTTATATGGTGTGTATCAGCCAAGTAACCCTCTCCTCCTCTTCGTCCTCCCCCTCCACTACCCCTTCACTAACCTTCCTGTCCATGCTCTTCCACTGCTTCTTACTTCCTGTTATGTCCCTCTGACAAGATTTTGAAAACTAATCTGGCGCTCTGATGTTGCCATTGTAGAAGTTCTTTTGGACATTAAACTTCTTACTTTTCAGCTTTTTCGAAACACAACTGTGTTTTCTGTTAAATGCTTTAACTTTGATATTATACAGTAGCACTCACAAATTAGAATTTGATCCTGGATAAATGCAGGAGACTTTTGCAATGGCTTCAGCTTTATTTTACCTCACATTCTTCTGTTCTGCTTTTTTTGCCTTTACGCACCACAAATCATTGGCTCAAACTAACTTTATTAGTATCTTTTTATTTATTTTTTATGTATTGACTAGTTGGATTTTCCTCTGATTATCATTTATGCAAAAGTACTTTAAAGTGTCACAAATGCACCTTTTTAAACGCCAGCCCTAAAAAAGAAATTGGATTCTCTCGTCACCTGTTTAACTACATTATCATAAAGCCTAAAACCAAATCTCCAGCTAACTCTGGATAATATAAAATAATATTTACTACTAAAAGACTTTCTGAACTTGAATACTCAGTCCTGTTTGGTTTTATAATGCTGCTGTTATTGTTTTGTAAAGTAATTTAAATCATTTTGCTGCATTTGAATATGTCCAATAAATCTGTGACACACGTTGGTCAGAGCTTTTCCACCCGCTGCCCGCTCTTCTCACACTATCATATAGTTCTTTGTTTTGATGTTTTTGACATGTGCATCATTTCACTCTGCAGTGTTGTCAGTGTCATTAACCTCATCTGTCTGGTGTTTGTATGATTCCACTGTTTTCTAACACGAGCCAACTTCTGAGCAGGCGTGGCTACATTCTGGTGCAGTGACACTGTGGTGTTTGTGTTTGTGTTTGCCATTCCAGTTTGCTTGGACCCATGTGACCCTGTTGATTGTGGTAACTCAGTCCCACCTTGTCATTCAGAACCTGTTTGAAGGAATGATCTGGTAAGCAGGACACAGACAGACCGGAGGAAACCTGCCTTGTTGTTTCTGAGTATTGCCGGACATGTGTTGTCACAAGTGTGTTCTTACTGTTTTAGTGCTCTTCATACAGGCTTTTAAAGTTTTAATAATGCAACAGAAAGTGACTCGAGGCAACAAGTAATTTATCTATTGGGGCCATATATACATAATCTCTTTTTAATTAGCTGCTCTAGATGAAAAGTGATTTAGTCAGCTAGATTTATAGTAATTACCTTTCTATTTTCACAATTTCTGAAACATGCTGCCACATTATAATACCATACAAGCTATCTTTCCCTGCCACAGTGGCAGTTATCAGTTGATACTAGAGCAGACGAATTTACTAGCTACAACCAGAATTAATCAGATTTTGGCTTGTGGATGGTGTAAGTTCCCCACCGCCTCTTAACATTGTGTAAATTCCTTCTTGCAGGTTCATTGTCCCAATCTCCATTGTGATCTGCAATGATATCATGGCCTATCTGTTTGGATTCTTCTTTGGGAGGACTCCGCTGATTAAGGTAAATCAAACATTTTCTTATGTTGTTCTCATTTTAGGCATTGGAATTACATTTAATGGCTTTACTAGTGTCTAAGAGTAGAAAGAGCTTCCAATAACAGCATCACTACAACAACCAGTAGTAAAGATTTCCCCAGTGAAAGACTTCTGCAGAGAAACTGAGGTGCTCAAACATCCAGATGGAGATCTCAGTAGAAATTATGCTAATTTGTGTTGAAATTGGCAAATTTTCTAAATCTCATCAGGATACTTCCTTGATGTCTCTGTTTCTCTCGTTTTCTGGATATGTCCAAGTGAGACTAGGTCTCAGGGCAGATCCAGAACACTCTGTTGGGACTATACAGTATCTCACCTTCCTTCTAGGATCTCCTGGGGCGGATGTGGCTATAGTGAATGTCTGGGCAACTGCCTTATTACACTGAGCCAAATAGGTGTCAGAAAAACTAATGGAGGGATTGGGCTTGTTTGGCTCCATATATTTTCCATCACATGATCATCTCTGCCATTCAGCAGTAAACTGTTGTCTCATCAGACCTGAATGGACTGGCAGTATTTCAGAGAAACCTGCTGATAAATAAATAACTCTCCAGGTTGTGACACGGGAGTGTAAGCTAAACTCTTTGAAAGTGAACAGTTTAAGGTACTTTCTTGTAACTTGACTATGCAGATGGTGTATGACACAGAACCATCCAGGAGGTCCTCGTTCAAAACTGTTTGGAAAAGGGCAGGCACTTTCAAAAAATACTGGCAGGTGATTGGATGATCCGTCTATCACGAGCGAATTTCAGCCAGTCAAATGAACACACAGTATAACGTAGTCAAACTCTTACTGAAGCCAGTCAGGAGAAGAGCGAACACCTCTTTTCCACCACTTTTCTGATTGGTTTGATCATGATCTCATGAGTACAGCTGCCTTCCAAGGTTAACTTTCTTGAACTTTCTGAAATGTAATGAACACTACTGGGTCAGTCTCCACAAGATTAAATACAGGATAAGCGCATAAAATTAAATTTGGACGATGGCTTCTGCTGTACATCTATCCACACAAGAACTATTCAGTAACTCAAAGCTGAGGTTTATTTTAAATCACATGTAGTTTGTGGTGAGGCTGATGTCATGTTGATGTGAAAGACAGCCTCTGTTTCTAACCCCCCCCCCCCTGCAGCTCTCCCCCAAGAAGACCTGGGAGGGCTTCATCGGAGGTTTCTTCGCCACTGTGGTCTTTGGCTTCATCGTGAGTACACTTTATCTGCTTTTACCACTCACTCACTCACATGGTCTATTTTTTATTTTTTTTACTCAGTTTCCAAGAACCCAAGACCAGATAATTTGTGTTTGTTATTTTTGCCCAATAGCTTCCAGTAACAGATACACTGCAGCTAGACACGTTTTTAGAACATAGTGAGACGTCTAAATTGTGGTTGATTATCTGCTAAAATTGTAGTTAAGATAAGAAACAGCCATTGCCAAAAATCTATGAGTTGTTTGGGTTGTGACATGGTTGGATGTTTCCCAACATGCTCACAACTGCCAGACTTTCATAACCTCCAGTCACATGGTCTGTTTTCTCCTGTCTCAAAAAAGAATGTCAAATATTCTTTGTTGCCAGGACAGAAAAATAATTTTAGTTCTCCACATATTCTGATCCCTCACACACATCTGGCACTGATACTTTTTTAGCATTTAGACGGTTGATATTGCTAAATTCCTACCCACATGTGAAGGTTGCACGAAAGCATGATCCTTACTCGAACTATTTTGCTGATGTGCTATCATACTAATGTACTAATATGCGGTTAGAAGCTTATCTTTTCTTTGTGTTTTGTTTTTCCTCAGCTGGCCTACCTCCTGTCTCAGTTCCAGTACTTTGTGTGTCCCGTGGGCTTCAACAGCGAGACCAATGGGTTTACAGTTGAATGTGAGCCTTCTGATATCTTTGTGATGCAGGAGTACACTCTTCCTGCTGTCATACAAAATACACTGAGATGGGTAAGACTTTGTGTCCTTTTCATTCCTTTTAATTTAAAATCTTTTGCATCAACTACAACCATTTGAAATATAATAATCTTCTAAAAACAATATTTTATTATTGTAAACATGTATGTCAAGCCATTCTAAGACTATTAAGGGAGAATACAATTTTACTAAATCAGCCTAATGCCTTATTTTCTTATTTTATATAATCTTTTTTAAACATTTCTTGTTATGTAGTTGCATTTTTAGGAAGGAACCACACTCACGTTTTAGAATTTGTTGTCCACACTAACTTGCCGAAATGATTATATAGAAATCTGCTTTAGCATTATTGTGATTATTTGTTTTAATGTAAATATCTGTATAGAGAGAAGATCAAAATTAGGTTTTCATCATTCCTCCCATTTCTCTTCGTCTCTCTCTTAGAAAACGGTGAACCTGTATCCCTTCCAGATCCACAGCGTCTTCCTCTCGTCATTCGGTTCTCTCATCGGGCCTTTTGGCGGCTTCTTTGCCAGCGGATTCAAGCGAGCCTTCAAAATCAAAGTAAACATTTAGTCTTTTCTCCTGTCCAACAAGCTTTCTTAATATGTGATTTACTTTCCATCATCTGGGGTGTTGTTTTAGCTTTGTTTCCCTTCTCTTTAAGTATAATTTTATTCTTTTAGCACCTTCCTCTAGGTACAGTTTTCACTTAAATCTGAATTAAAGAGAATAATTAGGTGTCATTAGCTAGTGTTTTCCATTTCATTGTCTCCACCTCAAGCTACAAGCTTAGAGAGATTGGTTTCAGGTAGATATTTGAATACTGCAGAAACTGGTTGGACCACATCAACTGTGGTGAAGAGCAGAGATTTTATTTAAAGTGACAGGTAGCTCCAGCAATACTTGCATAACCCCTCACACAGCAGCACACATTCACATTACTGCAGGCTATGGAAGCAAACTGCAGCCTCCTACTGTCAGCCACTGAGCGGCACCACTGCTCTCCCTGGGGTCTCAGCACCTTGTTTAAAGGGACACTTCACCCATTTGCATTAAGCTTTGTATCGTTAGAAACCCAGTCATATTTTTGAATGGTCGTGCACCATTCCCTCATTTTCCCCTGA